TTAGACGTCGTTTTATGTTGCACTTCAGATGTCGGCCCGACCTAGTACATTGACATCGGTCCGATTTAGACGTCTTTGTCGGTCCGATGTAGGTCCGATATGGAATGTTTGCTGGGAGGCCTACGTGACTCGATATGCGCGTGCTAATTTATAGAACTTATTTAATGAAATATGCGTATACAGCATAATTATATGAATTTATTTAAATTATGTGTTTTAACGCATGTGCTGAGGGTGAAGCTGATTGAGCTAATATGACACCTGTTTATATATCGGGAGGGGGATTTGTATCAAACAAAAGGCTTTTTCCACGATTTACAGGAACGAGGGGTTCTTTTTTTGGACTAGTACTTTTAGCAACCTCTCGTCATAGTTTGGAATTATCTTGCATATTAACATACCTGAAGACATGGTTTTAGCGCATGACTTCTGCATGTCGGCCTTCTGACATCATCTGGTACCTCGAAATGAGTTGGTTGTCATCGAGAGTTTCAAGATTGTTCGACCTGTCGCGAAAAACTCTCTCTCGTCGTAAATTACGGCGGTATGCATCTTGCAATAAAATCAATGCAGCCATTTTGGAATTAAAAGTTAGCAGACGACTTCTAACGAGTACCATACTGTGCACGTTATTTAACGCATAACTTTAATCGTAATTTAACGTTACGAATTTTTAAGAAACACGTAATTTAACCAACTTTTTTTTAATCAACAAAACACAATTATTTATGTTTATCTAGTATACTCAAGATATGAAATAGGTTTAGAAAGTTAATTGTTGAATAATTCTAAGAATAGGAGATGATCTTTATTTCGTCCCACAAATGGGACAATGGCTACAACTGGGTACGTATTCCTGGACATAGATTTATCAATCAGACTGTTGAAACTGAGTAATGTTTACGTTCAAATAACAATACTCATTATTCAAAATTTATTAATCAACTTTAATAATATTTAATTCCATTATAATATTACATCAATTTCATCAAAATTCATCAAAATATTTTAGTATTATCATTCATGTTTTCTGAAAGTCATGAATCAGTATGTTCAGTTCAGTTTCCTTGTCGATTTAAATGAATGGGAACGTTGCATTTTCCACACATCATCATGGTCTTTTTTCCACATTCTGCACATCTTCTCTGAGTACCACCAGAAGCGATGTAGTGGTTGCGGCCGTCTGTCCTCACATCAAGGGGAACCTTTTTGTCACATCGCCTAGCATGTGTTGAAGGTGGTCGACCAATATGGCGAGCTGCTGTATATCTCCTTAAATATACATCAACGATTTCTCTCTTGAATTTCAATTGATCTATATTATGACATTTTCGGTACAGAAGCCAAGCATTTTGGGCCATGGTATCTAAAAGGAATGCAAATAGTGGCCACCACCACTTTTTAGTTCTCATGTCGATCCTATAGTACCCAATGTTTTGATCCATTCGGTCAACTCCACCCATGGTATTGTTGTAAACTTTGACAAGCGCGGGCTGATCAACAAGAATGTGAGCTTTTTCTATAGCAGAAAAACGCCTAGCTTTTTCTGTCGGAAAGACATGGTCGGTATTTGATGCCAAGGTTACAACATTATTATCGTTCCAGTTGACCAATAAAACACCATTTTTGTCGTCGTACCTGTAGTCAAAACTTCCCCTAGGTTGTTTTCCAAGATCTTGAGTAGGTGTAATAGGACACTTTTGAAGACCGTATGGTACCAGTAGCACCTATTCCAGCATCAGCCAAATCAGACAATAACTTTATGGTTGTAAAGAAGTTATCAAATGTAACTCTGATTG